GAGATGATCATATGGTTCTTATTTTTAAGTCTATTGATGTGGTGAATAATATTTATTGATTTCTGTATATTGAACCAGCCTTGCATCCCAGGGATGAATCCTACTTGATCATGGTGTATAATTTTTTTGATATGTATTTGAATCCGATTCGCCAGAATTTTATTGAGGATTTTTGCGTCTAGGTTCATTAGAGATATTGGTCTGTAGTTTTCTTTCTTTGAAGTGTCTTTGTCTGGTTTAGGCATCAGGGTGATGTTGACTTCGTAGAATGTATTTGGAAGTTCTCCCTCTTTTTCTGGGCCAAGTTAGCCCTGGGAACCAGAATCTGGCAGCTCAGAGCCCGGCGCACACCTTGCCAGAAACGAGCCCCCAGGAGCTCCACAGGTTCTCCAGTCCCGAGCCTGAGCAAAAAATCTGTCTGCGAGACACAGGCAAATACCAGCCTGAAATCACCTGTTCCGTACCTGAATGAGCTGAGATCAGTAGAAAACGGGGATGATTACGTCACCTCTCCGAGATGGCGGCTGCTGACCTCCTCCGTGGTCCGACCGGTGTCTGGAACCGAACTGGACCGCTTCTCTCCTCTGTCTCAAAGCCGGAACTCAGCACTAAGCGCGGCCATTGTACCACTGGCGGGAGCCCCCCGAATCCGTATCGCTGCACCCCCGCTCCGGCACCTCGCCCCTTCCCAGCGCACGCCGCAGACTCCAGCCACGGGGCGATCACCGATCAGGCTATGCGACCCTCCGTGCGAAGAAATCGAGCTCCTGCAGCCATGGAAATCCGTCCACTAGATTCTGGAGCACTTCAATTTCACTGGAAATTCCCAACAAGATAGCCTTCAGCCATTTCACCTCGTCTTTCTCCCGCTCAGTGACGCAGCGCACTGGAGTGATGCACTCCCTTCGCCGCCAACTTTTCTCCCCTCACCATGAATATATTTAAAAGTAAATAAATGTATGGCTAGAGCAATGGAAACACAGAATCATAGGCAAAGATATGAAAATAAAGTAAAATGTAAAGAGTGGTTATTAGAAAGGAGGGAAAAGTAGCTGGAGGGGATATCAAAGGAACCTAAGTACTTCTGTACACTGTGAAAAAATGGCACACAAACATACTGGTGTATTGATTATTTATATTGTTTTTTATTAAAATAATAAAAATAAATGGTATTATATAGATTTACAGATATGTTTTCAGATACTTTTGATAATTAGAAAAACAAAACAAAATAAAATGTCTTCCAGTTTTCAGTCAAGTCCTTTTAGAAGTCCTTACTTCCATTCCTACAATAAAAAAAGTCAAACAAATTAATAATCAACAATTCTTCTTGGATCCATCAGAGAATTGATATTATAGACTACTTCTCCCCACAAACTTGAAGGACACAAAGGAGGACAGAGAATCACTGCCTGCCAGAACTGAAGCTGAGGAGCAGAAATACCAATAGGAAGTAATACCAAGGTCGAAAAGCCTAAATTTAACTTGAAAATATACTAAAGGCTCAGTGTAAACATGTCTTGACAGTCAATATAAGAGGAAAATCTGCACCCACTGCTTCCTGAAGAGAAAGGAGATTGTATACATTTTGAAGTGATTCTCAGAGGATTATGTTATATAAAGCCTGCACTCAAGGGAAACTATCTTATAAGATCCTAAACTATCCAGATTTTACCAGAGTCTAATTTACATGCCAACTGAATTCTATACATGGAGGAACATAAATACCCAACTCTAACCCCCACAAAACTCCCCATCCTACCTAAGGAGAGAGATTACCCAAGACAAAATGGTGAAGATTACTGTGCAGTAAAATGTTGATACCTAAACATAAACCAATAAAAGGCTTCTCCATCCCACCACACACACCTTACCACAACATCAGCAATAATATCCTTGAACAATAATAGGGAAAGATAACTGAAAAAACTGCATATATCAGACATTATTTTAGAATAAATCTTTGGGGCACTCAAGGATAATAGGGGAGACAAAAACAAGGACAAGGACACCAGAGGAAAATTTTGCCCCTGACACCTACTACAGCAAACCATAAATAGAGCCTAAGATTTGTCCATTCAGTAAATAAAACTCTCAGTAAAGGTTGATTTACATCAGTTCTTCAGATCCAATACATTACATTCAAGTTTTAATAAGAAATTACAAGATACATTAAAAAACAAACAAAAAAAACTGTTTAAGAAACATAGCAAACATAACAACCAGGTTCATATATGGCAAAGATGTTGAGATTATCAGACCAGGAATTAAGATAATTGTGATTAATATACTTAAGTCTCTAATGGAGAAGGCAGATAAAGTTCAAAAACAGGTGGACAAATATAAGAAGAGAGAAGGAAACTGAGAAATAACAAAATGAGATTCTAAATTTCAAAATTAATACAACATGGGCATAGCAGAATCACCTAATCAGCTACGATTCACTCCCATGCAGGTCACTGGGCTGCAATATAGGCAGAGCACAAGGCCATCCCAGCTCCCCACACCTCACTAGACACTCCTGCTCTGGAAGCAGACGGAGTCCATCTTGGAAAAACTTTTGTTGCCATTTTTTGGTGGGTGTGGCTATTAGTGGGGATTCTGTCTGAACAGCATATACAATCAATCAACAAATATATGAAAAAAAGCTCATCATCTCTAGCAATCAGAGAAATACAAATCAAAACTCTTCTAAGATATCATCTGACTCCAGTCAGAATGGCAGCTGTTATGAAGACAAACAAGTGTTGGCAAGGATGTGCGGGAAAACATGCACTCATACATTGCTGGTGGGACTGCAAATTGGTGCAGCCAATTTGGAAAGCAGTATGGAGATTCCTTAGAAATCTGGGAATGGAACCTCCATTTGATCCAGCTATTCCCCTCCTTGGAATATACCCAAAGGATTTAAATGCAGCATACTACAGAGACACAGCCACATCAATGTTTATAGCAGCACAATTTACAATAACTAAACTGTGGAGCCAACCTAGATGTCCTTCAGTGGATGAATGGATAAAAAATATATGGTATATATACACAATGGAACTTTACTGGGCATTAAATAAGAACAAAATCATGGCATTTGCAAGTAAATGGATGGCACTGAAGAAGATAATGCTAAGTGAAGTCAGCCAATCCCCAAAAAACAAATACCTAATGTTTTCTCAGATATAATAAGGTTGACTCATAGTGGTGCAAGGAGGTAGAGCATGGGAGGAATAGATGAGTTCTAGATAGAGAAGAGGGGTGGGAGGGAAAGGGAGGGGGCAGGGGATTAGCGATGATGATGGAATGTGATGGACATCATTATACAAAGTACATCTATGAAGAATTTAATTGGGTGTCAACATACTTTATATACAAACAGAAATATGAAAAATTGTGGTATATTTGTGTATTAAGAATTGTAATGCAAAAAAAAACCAAAGTACATGTATAAAGGCATACATTGGCATGAACATACTTTATATACAGAGATATGAAAATTGTGCTCTACATGTGTAATAAGTATTGTAATGTTTTCCAGTGATGCCATGTATTTAAATAAAATAAAATAAAGACTAAAGTAAAAAAAAGGAAAGAGAGCAAACACCCCCAAAAATTATATACAACATAAATGAACAATGCTTTTTTATGAGTTCGTCAGTAGGCCATGGCCGATAAAATAATGAGTGAAGTAAATAAAACTTCAAATACTGGTATTCAAAGAGAAAAAATAGAATACCCAATAACAATGGGAGAATTTAAAAGCTACAACCTAATTATAATGGGAGCTCCAGAAAGAATGAATAGAAGAAAGAGAGAGAAGGAGAGAGAAGAAAAAGAAGAGAAGAAAAGGAATAATAAATAATCAAGACATCATTACCCTAAGTACATGTATGAAAACATGAATGCTGTGACTCTACTTTGTGTTCAACCAGACACATGAAAAATTGTGCTCTATTTGTGTAATATGAATTGAATTGCATTCTGATGTCATATATAACTAATTAGAATAAATAAAATTTTAAAAAAAGAAATAGTCAAGGAATACTGACCAACAATTTTGCAAAATTAATGATAACAAACCATAGATCAAAATGTTCAGAGCATAGATCAGGATAAATATAAGTAGTATCAACATCTATGCAAACTATATTCAAACTGCACAAAATCAAATAGAAAGAGAAAATATCGAAGAAGTCAGGGAGAAAGTGACACCTTACATATATGTGAGCAATGATGAGAATTATAGTTAACCACCAAATAAGAAGAAAGTGGAAAAAAATATGTAAAGTGCTCAATGGAAAAAAATCCCCACAAACTTAGAATTATGTATACAGTGAGATTTTTCTTCAAAACCAAAGTAAAAATATACTTTCTCAGGACAAAAAATCAAAATTAGGGAATTGGTCATAATGGGCAAGGCTTGCGAGATATGTAAGAATTCCTGAAAGAAATTCTTCAGGAAGAAAATAAGTAACAACTTTATAGATAGATAGATAGATAGATAGATAGATAGATAGATAGATAGATAGATAGATAGATTAGATAGATTAGATAGATAGATAAACAAACATGTATATATATTATTAACATCACATATTATAAATATATATATACATATACATATATACACAATGTGTATATATACACACACATATATATATGTATATATATTAATGAAAAGACAACGCATGTCAGAATGAATCAAAATGAAGAATTAACCATATTTTGTGTATCAAAAATTCACTTTAAATATAAAAATATATATGTATCAAAAGTAAAAGGATATGCTGGGCATGGTGGCACACACCTGTAATCCCAGTAGCTCTGGAGGATGAGGCAGGAGAATCAAGAATTCAAAGCCAGACAGCCTCAGTAAAAGCAAGGCTCTAAGCAACTCAGTAAGACTCTGTCTCTAAAAAATACAATATAGGGATGGGGATGTGGTGCAGTGGTCGAGTGACCCTGAGTTCAATCCCTAGTACAAAAAAAAGTTAAAAAAAGGGTAAAGAGATACCAGGCCAACATGAATTAAAAGAATGCAGGAGTAGCTGTATTAATATTAGACAACACTAACTTCAGAGCAAGAAAATATATCAGGGATGAAGAGGAATATTGCACAATTATTGAATAGTAAATTCTCCAACCAAATAAAACAGTCCTTAATGTGTATGTGCCTAAAACAAAACATCAAAATACATGAGGGAGATGAGTACAGGAAGGGACCAACAGGTGGAAGACTGGGAAGAAAGGGAGAAATGCTGGGGAGGGATATTGCCAATTTATATTGTTATATTGTATGCATATACAAATATGTAACAATACACCCCATCAATATGTACAATTATAATACACTGATAAAATGTTGGAAAAAAGTAAATGTCCATTAAATATACATTTAAGCACTTATGAAGCTTTCTTTGATAATTTCTCTTACAGTCTTTTTCACAGAGTATCATGAATGAAGGCCTGGATTACATTTAACTGATTTTAACTATGAGCCAGCAGAGACTATGCTAAGTACTTGACAACCATTCTGTACTTAATCTTCACAATACCCACCAAAGTGCCGGGTTCTATTAGTATCCTTGATTCTTATATGAAAATCTGAGGATAAAAGTTATTAGAGATTAACTTGCCTAAATTGACAGTGCTAGTAAGTAGAGAACTAGAGCTTGCTAGGCTTGTCTTACTGAAAATCCCATGCTCTTTCCTGTTATGATTATTTGTGTGCATTATTTTAATTAAAGCTTTATCTAAGTGCCCATCAACTGATGAATGGATAAAGAAAATGTGGTAAATATACACAATGGAATATTATTCAGTCATGAAAAGGATAAAATTATTTCATTTGTGATTACATGGATGGAACTCAAGATTACTATGTCAAGTAAAATAAGTCAGGCACAAACAGACAAGTAGCACATGATCTCACTCATATGTAAGATATAAAAAAATTAAGCTCATAGAAGTTGATTGTAGAATAGTGGTTACCAGAGGCTTGGGAAGAGAAGGGGGAGACAGAGAGTTAGGGAAAGGCTGATTGACAGTTACTAAGTTCCAGTTGAATAGAGAAAAGCTTTATTGTTCTGTTGCACATAGGATGACTATAGATCATGATAATTTACTCAATATATTTTTAAAAAGCTATAAGAAATAATTTTGATGCCAGGAACAATGGAACATGCCTATAATCCAAGTTATCCTGGAGGCTGAAGTAGGAGGATCACAAGTTCAAGGCCAACCTGGAAAACTTAGCATGACTCCATTTCAAATATTTTTTTAAAGTTTAAAAGGG